TTACCATCTTAATCATCATCTGGAAAGAGAATATTCTAGATTAATATTAAATGTAGCTCTGATAAAGCACGGTCACTACTATGTATCATAAAGCAGGTACAAGATATTTTACATTCACAGAGGTATGATACAGTATCCTCCTACATCAATAATACTAGAATCAGTTTTGTTTTGAAATTTGCTTTGTCTGCAAATAAGATTGCTATCCCTGCTTTTTTCTGAGCTCCTGTCACATGGAGAATTGTTTTCCATCCTTTCACTTTCACTCTATAGGCTTCTTTTTGCATTAGGTGTGTTTCTTGTATACAACATATTGTTGGATTTTGCTTCTTATTCCATTCTGCCAGTCTATTTCTCTTGATTGGTGAGTTGAGGCCATTGACATTGATGTTATAACTGATATGTGCTGACTTACTATTGTCATGTTATTGGCTTTTTGTTGACCCTTTTTACTTTTTCACCTCCTTTTAGTTTCTTGCCTTGCCTATTTGATTTGCGATCTTGGGCCTCATGGTGTTGCTGCCTTCATTGTCTTTTTCTAGGATCTTGCTTAGAATTGCTGTAGTGCTGGTTTGGTATTCATGTAGTTTCTCAGGTGTTCTTTGTCACGGAAGTATCTTATTTACCCATCCATTTTGAAAGAGAGTTTTGCCCTAATTAATACTTTTTTATCTTAAAATCTCATCTGACATTAAGCTATATTGGCTTCCTTAGAGTATTGTTTAATATATCTGGACCCATTTATTTTCAAAATGTGCATATCTTTATAGGGTAGATTTCTCCTGCTGTGAGCAGACAGCTAGATTGTTATTTTTTAGTGCATTCTGACCATTTTGCCTGTAACCAGAAAGTTTAGTTGATTTACATTTACTGTCACAGGGTTATATTTGGGTGAAATTCTTCCATATTCTTCTGTGTTTTTTTTTTCTTTTATTGAGTTTATTGGCACATTTTAGGTATACAGTACAGTTACATGCATTATTAGGATCTTGTACTTTACATGACAGGTGGTCTTGGTTCTCATTTTTCCCCTTGTCCCTGCCCTCCCCTCTCCCTCCTCTCCTCCCCATTTACAAACACTTTATTTCCATTTCTTCTTCTGTGTTTTTTTATCCCAATTTTCTGTGCTTCTTTTTCCACTGTCTTGCCTTCATTTGCATGGCTACTTTTTCCATTTACTTTTTTAAAACTAGTTTAGAAATTATCTATTCTATTTTATTTTAGTGATTACCATTAGAACTTGAACCATGAGAGTGACCTTAATCCCCATACTTGCTTCACACAAAATAGAGCACTTATAACAATTTTTCTTGTTAATTCTTAATAATTCCTTAGGTCTACATGATTTTAATGCTTTCAAATCAGTCGTTATAGTTATTCCTATATGCCTATGCCTTTTTAGATTACTTATCCTTTGCTATATTGTGTTTCCTATTGTTATACCTCAAACTATTCCTCTTTGTTCAATTTCCTTTTTACTTAAGCACTTCCTTCATAAATTTTTTCACAACAGTCAATGAATTATAAACTCTACTTTGAATTTTTTAATATAACAGATGGACTTATTCCAGCCTCATTCTCAATAATTTAATTGCATATTTTCTATCTAAAGTTGAAATTTGGGGACAAAGAAACCTTTACTTTTATTAGTTGGTAAGCAGATACATTTCTTTTAAATTCATATCTTTACTAGCGGTTAAAGTTTTGAGAGTTCTGGTCCTGTTCTGAGACCTCTAGCCCAACTCCATATTTTGCACTAGCCCGAGGCCTTGTCTCTATTTTCTGTGAAATTACTAAATGAAAGCCCATTGAGTATCCCAATGTGGATACTACATAATATTCAATTTTTAAATTTTTGGTTGTTAGGAGTTTTCCTCACTCTATGTGAGTTTAGCTTTGCATTTGAATGGAATTTATATTTTATCTAACATTGCCGGTTTTTTATATAGAAAGCTTTCTTTCTTAAATGCTACTTTATACACATATCTAAACCTGGAAGTTGTGATGAGGTTGTAATGATTTATTCAGTGTCTGATTCTCCATCTAATCAGCAGAATCCACAAGACTGGGAACTGTAAACTTCGATCAGAGCTAATTACTGAAACTTAAAATAGTGCATAGCGCAGGAAGGTGCTTATTTAATATTTGCTAAATAAATATTAAATTCGTATTTAGAATTAATATGTCAGACCTGGCAAATGAGATGATAAGAGAAGGCCAAGAAGCATATGAGAGCATCAAACCAAATAGCCAACATCAAGTAGGAAAAAAGGGATTATGTGCTAATTAAAGGAAGAAAGGTGACTTTATCTATGTTTCAGATAAGAATCTTTAAGAACATTATCAAGGCTTAATGTTATGAATGTAGTCCCCATGGCTAAGTGAAATGGTATATAAAACCTTAACATATGACTACAGAACTTAAAAATGAAAGGGAGCAGGTACCACAAAACTAACCTGGAGCCTAACACGTAGGTTTGTTAAGTTTGCTCATAAATTTAAGGAGAGAGATTTTTTTCCAGACTGGTGAAGTCTTATGATGGCTAATAATTACAGTGTGTTTAATATAACCTATGCACTTTTCCAAAGAGTTTTAAATACATTAATTCAGATAATCTTTTAAATAACCCATTTGACATATGAAGAGATGTAGATGTAGAAAGATTAAGAAACTTTTAAAACTTTCAAAAAATCACACATTGAAAGTCTGTGGCATTTTGACTTCAAAGCAAGCTAAAATGTATGGTGAATATGTGCATTGAAATCTAATTTAAGAGCCAGCACTGTGATGTGCCATTACACATGCAAAGGCCATTTGGCAAACCTGTTCTGAAGACAAATTCCTCAAATGAATGCTTAAAAGTAAAGGTTTAATCAACAAGACTATATAGTAAAAAATTATCACAATGATCAAATTTTTAAAACATTTCTTCGATTGGCAGGAAAGACGGTAATGGCGTGGTAGCAGACGTCGTCATGAAGTTCCGATTCAGTAGACATAAGAATGGCGAGTCGATGAAAGGCAGAGTTCAAGCTGTCTTACAACACATGCTGAATAATTCCGGAAATCTGGAAACAAACCCTGCAACTGAGATAACATGCAAGTATCATTTGCTTACCATTTTATTTCAATATATCCATCAAGTTTATGGATTAAATGAGACACTGGTTTTCTTTCTTTGGAATTAAACTTTTTCAAAACAATATACTAAAAAGGTAAAAAGTATATAGAGCTGTCTAATGTAAAACATACTAAGATTTGGGGATGTTTTCAATAGTTATATATATTTAAATATACTTTTTCTTTCTTTCTTTTTTGTGGTTTTTGAGATGGGGTTTAATTATGTAGCTTAAGCTGAAATTGAACTTGCTGTGTAGCCCAGGCTGACCTCAATCTCAAGGCAATCTTCCTGCCTCAGCCTCCTGAATGTTGGGATTACAGGCATGCACCACCATGCCCAGCCTACCTTCTTCTTAAATGGAATAATTTCAACATGGAAGGAGGTCTACTTCCTGGTCTCCATATAGAGACAATATATTTTAACTTGTTCTCACAACCCTTTGTCAACTCCAACACTTCTAACAAAGTGAAAAAGCACACTCAATGTACATGCAAATACATTTTCTTGCTGAAATGGCTTTAAGGAATGTTATGACAGCAACAAGTTTTAGAGGGTAGAATCTAAGAATATTTTTTGTTTCAGTTTTCCACTTCATAAAACATGAATAGTTCCTGTTCTAATGTCTGAGGACTACACAGGGAGGATGTGAAAACACTGAAACTATATTTTACAACTTTAATTGGCATATACTAATTGCACATATTCATAGGGTAGGGTGATATTTGAATGTATGTATACAATATACAATGATTAGCTCAGGGCAAGTGGCATTCCGTCACCTTAAATATATAAACTTTCTTTGTATTGGAAACATGTAAATCCCTCTCTCCTTCTTGTTCTAACTTACTCAGTTATGGTTGTCAACCGTAGCTACTCTACTTGTACAGAACATTAGAAATTATCCCTCCTATCCATCTGCACCGCCAAACCCATTGCCCGTCCACTCTCCATCTGTCCGTCCCAACATCTTTCCCAGATTCTGGTAACCACTATTGTATTTCCTGCTTTTTTTCCCATTAAGTTTATTGGTACATTTAAAACAAGTAATACAGTTACATATACCATTGGGATCTTGTACCTTTACATGATGTATCTTGGTTCTTGTTTTTTCACCATACTCCAGCCCTCCCTTCACCCCCTTCACCCTTTCCTATTTACAAAGACTTTGTTTCCATTTTTCATTTTTTTCCACATTTTTCTTTTCTCTTATTTCCTTTCCCCCTACCCTTCCCACTTCCCCTTTAGCCATTTTATTCCTATTTCAGACTCTCAATAACACCATTTGAACCTTATTTACACTTTTAGTTCTTTTTTTTTTTTTTTATACCGGGAATCAAACTGGGGACCTTGCGCCTTGTGAGGCAGGCAACAGAACCACAGAGCCAAAGCCCCAGCCCTTTTTTTTTTCCGATTCCATTGTTTATCCTTGGGCTTTTAGAGAGCTTGAGTCAAAAGTATAAGAACAGAGAAAACTGGAGTGGATATAAAGTAAAGGATGGGAGATTTAAGGAGCCAACAACTTGGACAATGACTGGGCCTGATGGGCAGAGATTGGATGGACCATATGCTTCCATCAGGGAAACTATTCCATATTTACTCAAGTGTGTCCTATTGATTTCACTGAAGAGTATGGCCTCAATGTGCATCCATTTAGCTATAAATGTTTCTAGTTTCTCATTCTTTATGGCTGAGTAGTACTCCATTTTATAGAAAAACCACATCCTCTTTATCCAGTCTCCAGTTGATTGGCATTTGGGTTGTTTCCAAGTTTTTACTATTACAAACTATGCTGCTATAAACATGGGTGTGCATATATAACTGTGGTATGATTCTTTTAATTCTTTGGGAAACATACCCAGCAGAGGGATGGCTGGGTCAAATGGAACCTCTAATCCTAGTACTTCAGATATCTCCAGATGGATTTCCACAGTGGTTGCAACAGTCTGCACTTCCATCAACAATTGAGAAGGGTTCCTTTCTCCCCACAGCCCCACCAGCATTTGTTACTGGTTGATTTCTTGACAGCATCCATTCTTTCTGGGGTGAGGTGAAATCTCAGTGTTGTTTTCATCTGCATCTCTCAAATGACCAGTGATGTTGAACATTTTTTCATATATTTAGCTGCTGCTTTTACTTCTTTGTCTGAGAAATGTCTGTTCATTTCAGAGGCCCATTTTTGAATTGGTTCTTTGTATTTGAAGGGTCTGGGTTTTTTAGTTCTTTATATATTCTAGATAATAGTCCTTTGTCTGAGGAGTAGCTGGTAAAAAATTTTTCCCACATTGTAGGTTGTCTCTTAGCTCTATTGGAGATTTCTCTTGTACTGCAAAAACTTTTTAATACAGTGAGATCCCAGTTGTTCTTTGTGCAAGTTATCATGCTGCTGAGGATTTGTTCATAAAGTCTTCTCCTATACCAATGTCTTTGAGAGTTCTACCTAATTTACTTTCCAGTAAGTTTAGTGTTTGTGTTTTGATGTTTACATCTTTAATCCACTTGGATTTTAGTTTAGTGCATGGTGAAAAATAGAGATCTAGTTTTAAACTTTGGCAAGTTGAAAGCCAGGATTTCCAACACCATTTATTAAAGAGGCTATCTTTCCTCCAGTGAGGATGGTTGGCTCCTTTGTCAAAGATGAGGTAGCTGAGTACAGCTGGTGTTGTTTCTGCATCTAATCGCTTCTCGGCCTTTTGGCTAAAATCAAGTGTAATCTATTCCACTGATCCTCAGATCTGTTTCTTTGCCAGGACTATTCTGTTTTTACCACAGTGGCTGTGTAGTATAGTTTCAAGTTGGGGATTGTGATACCCCTTGACATGTCTCTTTGCCTAGAATGTTTTTTGCTATTCTAGGTCTCTTCTGATTATAAATGAATTTTTTCTCAAGTTATGTGAAATATACTGTTGTGATTTCAGTCAGGATTGCATTGAATCTGTAAAGTTTTGGAAGTATGGCTATTTTCACTATGTTGATTCTTCCTACCCACAAGCAAGGGATGTCTTTCCATCTTTTTATATACTTTTCTATCTCTTTCACCATAGTGCTATAATTTTCAGTGTATAGGTCTTTTGTCTCCTTCATTAGAGTGATTCCTAGATATTTCATTTTTAGGGATGTTATTGTGAAAGCAATTGTTTCCTTAATTTCTTTCCCAGGGAGTCTGTTTTTTGTGTACAAGAAGGCTTTTGATTTTTGAGTGTTGACTTTGTATCCCGCTACTCTACTGAATCTGTCAATTAAGTCTAGCGGTCTTTTGGCAGAGTTTTTTGGGTCTTATATAGAGAGTATCATCACCAAATAGTGACAGTTTAATTTCTTCCTTTCCTATATTTATTCCGTTTATTTCTTTCTCTTGTCTAATTGCTGTGGCTAATATTTCCAGAACTATATTGAACAAGAGTCATGATAGTGGACATCCTTCTCTTGTTCCTGAATTTAGAGTGAGGGTTTTCATTTTTTGACCATTTAGAATGATATTGGCTGTTGGTTTTTCATAGATAGCCTTTATCAGGATGAGATAAAAACCATACTTTTAAATTTTCTGCAGCGTTTTTATGATGAATTGGTGTTGAGTTTTGTTGAATGCTTTTTCTGTATCTATTGAGATGATCATATGGTTTTTGTCCTTGAGTCTGTTGATATAGTATATTACATTTATTAATTTACATATGTTGAATCATCCTTGCATCACTGGAATAATCTGACTTGATCAGGATGTGTGATATTCTCACTAATATTCTGTATTCTGTTTGTCAATGTCTTATTGAGGATTTTTGCATCTATGTTCATTAAGGAGATTGGCCTGTAGTTCTCTTTTTTGGTTGTGTCTTTCCTTGGTTTTGGAATCAAACTAATACTTGCTTCCAGGAATGATTTTGGAAGTATTGTTTCCCTTTCAATTTTATTGAAGAGTTTAAAGAGTAGTGGCAATAGCTCTTTTTTAAATGTTTTGTAGAATTCAGCAATGAATCCACCAGGACCTGGGTTTTTCTTTGTTGGTAAACTTTTAATTATGGTTTCAATTTCATTTTTGATATCTATTAATATTTGTTTTGTATAGTTGGAGGCATTAGCATTCAGTGCATATATATTTATGATTGTTATTTCTTCTTATTCCCTTTACAGGGTTGTAGTGGCCTTCTTGGTCTCTCTTAATTAATTTTGGTTTGAAATCTATTCTGTCTATAAATAAGATAGCTATCTCCGCTTTTTTCCAGTCCCCTGTTGCATGGTGAACTGTTTTCCACCCTTTTAACCTCAGCTTATGAATTTCTTTGTGAATTAAGTGGGTTTATTGTATACAATATATTGTTGGATTTTGCTTCTTAAGCCATTCTACCAGCCTGTTTATTTTGATTGGTGAATAGAGGCCATTAACATTGTTGGTTGTAACTGTTATGTATTGACTTTTCATTGTCATGTTATTTTCCTGTTGTTGTTTCTCTCTACTTTTAATTTCTTGCCTTGTCTGCTGTATTTGCTCTTTTGGACCCTATGGACTTGTGGTCTTCACTGTGTTTTTCCAGGATACTGTTTAGAAGTGTTTGAAGTGCTGATTTGGTGTTCATGAAAATTCTCAGGTGTTCTTTGTCATGGAAGTATCTTATTTCCCCATCAATTTTGTAAGATAGTTTATTAGGATACATCAGTCTAGGTTAGAAGTTGTTTACTTTTAGGACTTAAAATACCTCACTCCAGGCTCTCCTTGACTTGAGAGTTTGTGTTGAAAAGTCTGCTGTGATTATGATGAGCTTTTCTTTGCATGTGATTTGTTTCTTTTCTCTAACTGTTTGTGGTATCTTGTTCTTCTGTTGAGTTTCTGGGATCTTGGTTATTATATAGCTACTTGTAGATTGTATTTGATCATGGCTAGTTGGAGTCCTATATGACTCATTTATCTGTATGTCATATTCTTCCTCTCTGTTTGGGAAGTTTTCTGTCATTAGTTCGGTGAACAGTTTTTTTATGTCATTTGTAC